TGTAAGGAGCACATCGGTCGCAGCTGCGTATGCGATGATGCGACCAGGCAGCTCTTGCATCGGCATCATGTTCGTCACCCCTGTGACATCACTCCGATTACGATCGTTCGCACATCAGGAAAGCCCTCCGGCAACTTGCTATGCATAGTTCTCGACAAGGTCAGGACCCATCCTGGACGAGTTGGCTAACATGTTTTCATGCAGTCCCAATTTGCCAACGGTGCAAAAATGAGGGGGGGGGGGGGGGCGAGGCGGTAGAGAGAGGCAAGTGGAGGAGGCCAGCCGAGACAGTACTAGACCAAGCGAGTCGAAGGATGAACAGGACGATAGAAGGTGGATGCTCCAAGGAGACGGATGAGGACGAGGCCAGACGAGGCGAGAGAACGGGCTTCGGGCGGGCTGCGACGGGGCTGTGGTTTCTGGTTAAGCAGCGGCAGCTAAGAAGAAAAAGTGGCTGGGATGGCAAATCCACAAGCCAGTAGGTAATGGCGAGTGGGGGACGTATTGCGACAGTGTACCATGTACGTTGTTGTTCGCCGTTCCGTTCGTCGAGGTGTGTGTGGATGGATGTCCAGGGTGTGTGAGGGGGGAGGGGGTTGAGGAGTCGATGAGGGGTGATGGGACCACAGTCTTAGGTCTTAGTTAAAAGCCTTCCAGGGTTTATTTTTCCTCATTCGTTGTCGAGGGCACAGGTTCGGTGGGAGATCGACGTGAACCTCCCAGCACCAGTTGACTTTGCGGACAGGAAGCTTTTGTTCTAGGCACCCCTCTGGACATGACGATGAAAAATGATGTTGAAGAGGGGAAGAGGACTGTGGACAGATACCTAGCGACACCAAGGTTTACTCGTAAACCACCCGCCAACCGGCTGCGAGGTACATAGTAGTTGCCTCTGATATCCAGTCCTCGCGGCTGCTACTTCCGATCCTCTTGTTGGCACAGTCCGGGCCACCGTGCACACATCCTTTGACTGTGAGGCTGGCAGTTGGGTCTAGCATACACCACTGTACCTTACCTGCCAGCAGGCCCCAATTCAATTGTCAGTGGCGCTGATGTGGCCTTCCGTGGACACGCACACTATGCGAGGACATTCGCCTCGCCAGCGCCCTCTCTCTTCCTTGCCTGACCTTGGTAGCCAATGCTTCCTCATGAACTGTCGGTAGGCAGGTAGGTAGCTGCCAAAAGGTGATGTGACCAGACAGCACGGCGGTACCGAATCACGACGACCCGTGCTGGCAACGGCTGGAGGCGCTTCATGCCCATCGACACGGCCCGTTGCATAGGCCAAACTCTGATACCCTACCCGGCGATGGCGATACCTTGCAGACGGGCCACCTCTTGTCTGATGACCAGCCGCTAGGTACCATTGATATACAGTGGTCGATTGCTGAGTGGTAGTAGATGGATTGGTACCATGAATGCTTCTACCAAGGACCAGGGTTTCAACCTGCGGGGATCGCTTTGTGCTTGGTGTCCGGATTGCCAGGCGGTCCCCCAGGCCCAGGGACCAGCCAAGACTCGATAGTGGCTCGTAACACGTCTTACCCCGAGATCTGATCCGCTCGACATGGACAGGGCAGCCTTCACCTCGGCTGGGTGTCGCGCCTTGTTGCGCCTGATGTGTCTCCCACCGTCCCGCGATGGCCGTGATTTGCAGCTGTCCTACTGAATGAAGCAGTAGAAGAAACTATGCCAGCAACATTCCGGCCGACGGACTGCCTGAGTCTGAGACCCTGAGCAATGTCTTTGACTCTTAGGGGATACGCTATCGAGTGTGTGCCGTGCTCTGCATGTGAAGTCGCAGCGACCCAGCAGGATCGCGGAAACCAGGACCAGGGTAACAGGTCAGGCAGGTACCTCTGGAACCACAAGTCACAAGTTGCTCGATGCCTGGGCCCGCCGCGGCGAGCCATGCGGCCGCTTTATGGTCACTTGGATGCCACAACCCAGCGAGCGAACGAGAAAGCACGCGTGGCATGCGACCTTCAGCGCATGGCGCGCTGTTTATGTCTCGGTCTAGCGGGATGTGACTGGGGGATGGATGACCAGACCGAGTCATGTAAGTGACTTGTGTGGAGGGCGGCTGGAGACTGAGAGAAACAAGCAGCTCTGGGAGCAAGATAGCTATGTAGCTGCTGGCTGGGCTGGCGCAGACGAGGGACGAGAGACTGATGACTACTGACAGGTTGGTCGGTCGTTGTACAGTGCGCCGCCAGTCACGAGAAGAAGGCCGCTTGACAGATGGGCCCCCGCCCAGTCGGTGCTGGGAAGAAGCACGAGGCTGGCCATGATTCCATGATTCCCCTCATTTCCTGTTGCATCCGTGGTGGGTGTTTGGCGTGCAGCATGCAGCATGCAGCAGGAGATTGCTCAAACTCACCCGACAGCGCGGGGCAGCTGCGCGCTGCTTGCTGACGATAGGTGCGAACGCGGTGGATTATCCAGTTGCAAATGGCTCGCTCGGCAAACCATTGGCTTCGGCCTGCCCGCTCAGCGATGCAAGAAAGAAGAGTTGTTATCTCCAGCAAGTGACAAGGAGAAGTCAAGTTCATTTCACTTTGTGATTGTTATGTCCCTTGAGAGTCCATGTCATAACAGTCAGTCTGGTGGCTGGGCAGGTGCGGTCGAGACAAAATAACCATTGCTGTTGCCGTTGCAAGTCCTGGATATCGCTGCCTGTTGAGTACCTCTTACCTTACGCATAGTAGGTAGGTACCTCAGGTATGGAGGTGGCACCTAGGTACCAACGCTGTCTCTCGGCCAGCGACCAATCCCAAATACTTGAGGCGAGCCACCATGATAGCAACTCACCATGCGGCCATAACAGCAGCCTGGGTTGCACCTACGACCCTATCGCCGACAACCACAGTCCAACGACATCCAGGCTAGTGAACCCCCACTGACCAAGAGGTACCTCGCAGTTACTGTATGCTGCACCGCTACGCTACTGCATCTCGCTCACCAAAGAACCCGGCAAAAGCCAGGGCACCGCGCTCTCGCCCGCGGACCCGGGTCCCATCTCCTGCCACAGGGCTTCCCTGACAGCCCGCTCGATTCGTTCGCCGGGGGTATTGCTATTCCGGAGCGTGAATGAGCCAGTTTAAGAGACCACGCAAGGGCTCAAGGGCTTCAGGGCTCAAGGGCTCGCCAGGGCTCGCCAGGGCTCACACACCAGCAAGGGGGCATGTCAGCCAGAGACCCAGAAGGATTGCCCAAGTGCTGACTATCGAGCCAACCTTGACCCGAAGAGCAAAGACGTCTGTGTGTTTCCCTGCCCAACAAACATGGTTGAGCTGCATGGAATACATCAGAGAAGCCTTGTTAGGTGCCGTTCGTACGAGGTGGCACATGATGCTGCGGACCTTTGGGGCATCATTGGGCAGTCGCCAAGTCAATGGATCACCATGATCTTCCCCTCGGTCAATTGGGAGCACCCTCAAACACCAACAGCTCACCGACCTTTTTCGTTCTCTTTCGCCCCTGTCACATCTCGTCTTCGACGTCTGGGACATGCGAGGGCTTGAGTCAGCCAGCGAGAGCACCCAATCCTTTCGACGCACCAAGCTCATATTGCGAAACCCCACGCTTCTATCTACATAGAGCGCACGTTCAACCCATTAGCACGGAGAGCGTTGGGAGTGATGCACCACCATTGGCGCCACTGGTGTGCGAGGCACGGCCGATCACTCGCCTCCTTCAGCTTTTCTCTGATAACTGTAAGGACGGCTATTTTCTCTGCCCTTGTAGGCTATTCGCTCTACCCGACTAGGGTAAATGCACGCTAGACAGGGGATAAGCCAGAAACACAGCTCTACTACCTAAATTAGCTAGGGCAACTATATACCTTTGCTCGTCTTTTATACCTTTAAGTTTCTAGTAAAGTAGGCGAGTTACTAAATAGGTAGTAGTAGCCCTTAGCGGCCTAAGGTAGCTAGTACTAATCTTTTTATATTATAAATTAAGATATTAGAAAGACTATAGCTTTAACTAGAGGTTATTTAGAACCCTCCTTACTATGTACTATAGTCTCTAGCTATAATCGTAGAGGGTATTACGTATCTATAATAAAGGAGACGATAGGACCCTCGGTAATAGGCTCGGTGAAGGAGGTATCGTAGAGGCTTCGTTTAACGATAAAATAAGGCGTTAGCGATATCTAGAGGGCTTAGAATAGGTATACTTAGTAGTATTATTATATTTAAGGGTATTAGTAACTTTAGAGCTTTAGGAGGTTATTTATATTACTTTATTAATTAATTATAGCTAATCTTTAGCTCGGAATTTATTAAGAGATTCCTCGAAAGACTTATATATATAAGAGACGAGCAGAGGTATATAGTTACCCTAGCTAATTCTAGTAGTAGAGCTATATATGAACTTAACCCTTATCTAGCGTGCATTTACCCTGGTCGGGCAGAGCGAATAGCCTATAAGGGGCAGAGAAAATAGCCGTCCTCGATAACTGTCCGATGACAGGGGCTCATTGCCGAGCTTGAATCCAGGATAGGCGTACAGAGCCCTTCCGTACATGTCGGCCCCTGGAAGGTAAAGCCGAGGGTCCATATTCTCGGCTTCAATTGGCGGCTTAAGTCACCCCTCTTTCGCCATACACGTACTGCCGGACTGATGCAACGCAAGCTGAGCTCCGCCGTACCTGAGCAACCCGTAGCCCCCCGCTTTCTGCTAGATATCGCCGTGATTGGGTACCAAAACAGCCCGGCGACTCCCATCGGCCTGGCCAACGACGTTCGCATGTGAGCCAGGTGCGGTCGGCTCTCCGGGTCAAGGGCTCGTCTCGCCCAACCTCAGCCCCTCGGGTGTCAGAGCAGACATCTCCCGTGCTCTTATTCGCTTTTCTTTCCTAGAGCCGTGTTCAGGAGCGCGCTGCTACATCTCGCTTCGTTCACTGCAGATCATCAATTCTCGGCTCAGCATGGCCTCGTCCAAGACCACAAGCGAGGCCGAGGTCAAGGCGCTCGCACAGTATTCTGCTTGCGACATATCGGACGCCCTGGTTAAACTCAAGGTTCAAGGAGGCGGATTTCTCGCCGACCTGCATTGCTACAGCCAACCGGATGCCAGTCACACTTCCATCACCATAGCACCGGCATCTACCGTGCTATTCATCCCCAAGGGCGCGACATTGGACGCACCACGTTCTAACATCCCCCAAGATGCTCATTGGGCAGATCTTACACCGCCGCATACTATCGTTGTTATCAGGCAGCCCGATGGCCAAAGAAATGCCGTTTGTGGAGGGATCATGGCTGTTCGGATGAAGGCTCGCCAAGCCAAGGCCGTCGTCGTCGCCGGACGGGCCAGGGACCTGGAGGAGCTCAGAGGCACAGGTCTACCTGTATGTTGACAGAGTCACATCAAAAGCATTGGTGATGTGCTCGCGCTAATACATGCAGGTTTGGGCCCGTGGTCTATCCACTGTAGGGGCAGGGGCGGCAAGCACGCCTTGGGCTGTCCAGGTTCCTCTCGACATCGATGGAACCATCGTTCACCCGGGCGATCTTGTGTTCAGCGACCCTGTCAACGGCGTCGTCGTTATTCCCCAAGACAAGGTCAGCCAGGTCCTTGAGCTTCTGCCACGCCTCACCGCTGCCGATGACAAGGTTAAAGAGGATGTCTTGAAGGGCGTCAGCGTTTATGATGCCTTCAAAACCCACAGGAGCAATCTTTGATGGCCTTCGTTCAGAAATATGGATCATAGCTACACGTGGTGCTCAGTCTTGTGAATGGGGCAAGTACTGTTTCAGAGGATCACAAAGACTGGAATCCTAACCGGCAAGACACCGAGAACATGGCTATAGCTGCGAATTGGCCACAGCAGACCACGGTACAAGGCCAAACAGCGTTGAAACTTTTCCTGGCCGGTTCAAGCCCGTCATATCTCAGCTGAAACTGCTCAGCCTCTATGTATAGATGAGTGCCTGTCGTAAGGGCCCGGAGAATGGTGAATTCCTGGCGATCCAGCACCACGATGGCCAGCAGCAACAAACGACGGCGATTGGTTTACTTCAACTCATGGCGATCGGCTAGTGGCGCAGCCCATTGAGCTTTCAGTCTATCGAAGGTGCCTAGGTGACGCTGACCGAACTATGTCGGGGGTCGGGGACCCTGGGAGCATCGCACTTGCGCTGTGACATGATTCCCGCTAGCTCACCGGCTGCAGGCTGACCATCCGGACCCCCCTTAGGTGCACACCGATAAGATGAGCTGGATGCCCCCCTCCTCCCCAACATGGTCTCGCTGTCTTTCCTGGCAGCCGGGGGTCCTGCATGATAATAGCAGGAAGAATAAGTCGCCATGGATGGCCAGTGGCGCGCACGAAAGCCCCGCTCGACGCACAGCAACAAGCCGATGTGACAAGGCACCATCGCCATCTTAACCTTCCTCAGTACCTTCCTCAGTCACCACCCCCCAAACCACGGCGATGCCGCTAAAAAGTAACTCCAGGATCAGTTCGGCTTCGACGAGACGACCTAGCAGTATTGTCGAGCAAGCCCACCGGTCCGTCCCCCGGTTATGGGTTCACCCCGAGCCTGATCATCAAGGTGCGCCAGCGTCATGTCAAAACAAGATCACCATTCTCAGGTAGGACTCACGCTGGTTCGTGTTCATCAATTCATTAACATGCCATCCCGTGCCCTCGTGATACCTCTGGGGAGAGAGGGAAAAGAAAGAAACCCATCCAAGACCAGCATTACACCCCTCAAACAGTAAGTACAGCCCATTGACTAGCATGAAAAAAGGTTTGAAACAAGAATCTTCGTGTGCCTCCTTTTCTGTCTCTGTCTCTGTGTCTTTTGATTTTCGTGGAAAAAGGACGAGAGTGTGACGGCAATGGACCAAGACGCTGGGAAACTCCAACGCAAGGAAATAGGGAAATACGCCTTTTGAAAATGGACATTGCCGTTCTCGTTGCTGTTTCGCGAACCGCGAGACCGGGGAGAAAAGAAAGGGGGGCCACTGGCCGCTCACGACAGCGTGTCCGCTACGTGATCCAACTAGGACAGCCAGGCGTCCCGGTCCTTCTGCTGCGGCGTCGGCAGACCAAAGTCAAGCTTGGGCATGTCGATGCGGGGCGCGGCATCTTTGCCGGGTACGGGCGACGCCGCCGAGGCTGAGGCGACGGGCTTCTTCTTGGGGCTCCGCGGCTCGGGCGGCGGACCGTAGCGCACGTCGCGGACGTCCCAGCCGTCTTCGGCGGCGGCGGCGACCCAGGTGCGCAGGGCCTCATGGACGCAGCCGTAGAACTTTTCCTTGCAGAGGCGCAGACTGCCGCCGAGACAGCGCTCCCAGCCCGAGATGCGCATGTCGTGGCGGATGGCGTTGCGCTGGGCCACGGTGGGCGTGCAGGCAAGGATGGCGTTGACGAGATCAAGGTGGGAAGCGAGGTAGTTGGTCGCGTCCCACTCGACACCACCGACGTAAGGAGCCGCGGGCACGGGGGGCCGCTCCTGCGGGAAGTGCTTGTGCATGTAGGCGTAGGGCTGGTGGTCAGAGTGGCCGGGCCCGGCTGAGAGAGGCGGATCAAGCTGAGCGCCGCCCTTGCTGGACATGTCGGCGGGCAGGGCGACGACGTTGAGGTTGTGGAGGAAGATCCAGAAGACCTCCTTTGTCACGCTGACGGTCTCCTTGTTCCAGACGGTATAGGGGCGCTCCTTGCGCATCTCGAGAACGAAGGGGACGGGCCGCTCATCCTCCTTGCCCTCCTGGTTGCGGAGGTAGGAGAGCATGGCCTTGGCACGGATGACACGCTCCTGGGGCGAGGCCGACTCGATATAGGTGAAGAGGACCGAGGTGATGATGTTGCGGGTGGTGAACTCGCTGGGGCCCTTCTTCTCGGGGTCGAAGATCATGTGGATCAGCTTGGGGAAAAGGTCTGTGTGGATTGAGTCGAGATACTGCAATGCGAGGGCGGTGGTGCAGAGTGCCTTGAGGCAGAGGAGGTTCTCATGAAGGAGTGCATCCTCGTGTTCTTCCCTGTTTGCGTGGTCAGCAACAACAATCTTTGCACAAGGTCGATGCGGGCACGTACCTCCACTCCACCTCCAGAATGCGGTTCAGGAGATCGACAATCTCCTTCATGCCGCCCTGCTTCATGAACTCTTCGGTCCACGACACCGTCTCGTTCCGCAGCAGCAAGCGCAACTTGTGCAGCTTGCCGACCTCGACCAGCTCAGGCTTCTGCACCTTTCGGAGATACGACACAAAGTCACCCGGCCCCTGGCCGAGCTTGATCTTGGCGAGGATCCCGCTGCCGGCTGACGGGTTGGCCGCTGTCACGGGCCTCTCGCCGACGAGGCTCTCGGTGGACTTTGTCCGAAAGTGTCGGCTCAGCGTCCCCTCGCCCTTGGACTTCTTCGTCGGCGACTTGGCGTCCTTCTTCGCGCGCCCCAGCGTGAAGCTCCGCCCACGCGTCCGCTTGGGGTGGGTCTCCTCGGTATCCGTGCCGACGGCGACGGCCGAGGAGGAGCCCGCGTCGACGCTCGTCGTGCTCTCGTTTCCGTTGCCGGGTTGCTGCTGCTCTGCCTTGGCCGCCATCTCGGCCCAGTCCTGGCGGATAAACTCCATCTTGATCGTGTCGTTGAGGTTCCGCATCTTGAACCGCTGGTTCTCGGGGATGTTGCGCCGGTCGAGCATGGCCTCGAGGTGGGCGTTGATGTCCTTGGGGTCGATGACGGCATCGGCCGGGTTGCTCTCTGGCGTCTGCTTGTCGGTCCTGTGGCCCGAGGCCGAGAAGGCCGTGAAGATCTTGGGTCGCTGCGCTTTGCTCGTGATGCGCTCCGACGAGGCGGGCTTGCGGCTGTCGTGAGGAGGCCTGTGGCTCGTGGTAGGCAGGAGACCCGCATCATCGCGGACGCGGGAGTCGGGCTTGGAGGAGGTGTAGGGCTGGTAGGACTTGGGGCGTTCCTTGCCAAGAGGTGCTGACGAGGGATGGAGGCTATTCCCTGTCGACCTGCTGCCGTGGGCACTGCCCATGTCGAAGGAGGTCTTGCTGTCCGGATTGTAATGTTGTTGTGTTTGTTGTTGCTGCTGCTGCCCGAGGTCTTGGCTCGAGAACTGAGCGAAAATGGGGGGCGGGGGCCCGGTGAGGTCGACTGCTGAGGTCGAGGCTGGTGGTGTTCTGTTCTCCTTGTTGTTTGCTTCGCGGCGCTCGTCCTCCTTTGCCTGCCTGCTCAGCCCCCTGGATGACTTGGGCCGCGACAGCAGACCCGCGAGGTTTGTGGAAGACTTTGTCTTTTTCGGCTTTTCCGGCGACGGCTCGCGCGATTTCGGCGGTCGAGAGGACTCCTTGATGCGGGCAAAGGTGCTGAACGCTGATTTCGTGGGTGACCGTCCGCGGTCGTCGCTGTCTTGTCGTTCATCTCGCGTCTTTCGTGGCGAGCGGGGTCCCGTGGTATCCTGCTGGTTCTGTTGCAGCTCGCCGAGGGCGCCGCCCGTGTGTCTTGCGAAACCCATGACCGGTGGGCTCTCCAGGGATTCGATCTGGGGCGCCGTGCTGGATGTCGTCGTGTTGATGGCGAGGCCGGAGGGGAGGTTGCTGCCGCCGGACTGGTTCCGTCTGTGCATGAAGGATTTGAGGACTGAAGATTTGGACCGCTGGTGTCCGACACTGCTCTCCTGACGCGGAACACCGTGGAGATGGTCGTGTGAAGTTGCCATGGCCACCGGGAGAAGAGACGCTTGTGGGGATACGGGGTACGGGGGAGCAAGAAACGTCGTTAAAATGCAATGGCTAAGCTGAAGCGATTCAGGAATGCTGTCCTATTCGAATGCGTCGTTCAAAGATGCCAGGCGAGTCATACTACCATTGTCTCGCTCGCAGGGGAAAGAGGCGGGCGATGCTGAGGGTGTTGGAATGAATTGGAGGTTCAGGCCGGAGGATGATGCCTGCGGAGTATCTCGATCGGTTGTGGGCATGTTGATTCTGGCGCTGTTGCCACGACGACATCCATCCGCTTATCTTATCGCGGGTCGGCGCTTGGACCACTTCATCGACGTCAATGCTGGGGGATCATTGCTTACTCATCGTTCGTGATCAAAAGTCGCTCTCAGCGCACCTTCTCCCCGCTTTGTACCATAGGTACCTCCCTAGGTACCTAGGTACCTACCTATGCATGTACCTATGCATGTACACCTTGAGTTGCCATTGCTCGGTGTTGTAGTAGTCGTTCATGAGACAGAGTAGAGATGTCACTCATGCAACTTTGGCACTGATTGGCAGATATGCCCAAGACAGCTACCTTACTTATACGTTCATGTCTGAACCCAACACCAACAGCTCGGCTAGCTGGCGTTGTTTGTCTTGAGACATGAATTGTCTTGAGACATGAACACAGGGTAGAACGGCAGGCTTGCTTCCCATGTGTTGTTTTCGTGGCCTTCATTCCGGCCGATCTTCTTCTCACTGTCGTCACGCTACTTTTTCTACAAGTACCCACTCTATCTGCTTCTTCGGCACGCCCAGCCTCATCCTCGCCGGTTTGCCGTCTTGTTTGACTCGACTTTTGGGTTGAGCGAACTCATGACCGACAGACTTCTCTTGAACTATCATCCCATGTCGACGACCCTGAACGTGATAGTCACTGGGATCTTTCAACTGCTAGGGGTTAGGTGTAACCACGACGATGATGGGTTGCTAGTTTCCCAGTTTCATGTACAATTCTCACCTCATATCGTCAATGGAGCAGACGTAGTATCTAGGTAGTCGCTGCAGGACCATCTTTGCACGCATGCATTCATATTTAGAGGCAACCCATAATTTCTCGTCCCATTTGTCCAATGCCTTCGCAAGCCTGATCGTCTCATCTTTTCTTCACCTGTTGATTTCAATTGCTTACTTGGCATCATCCTACGGTTGAAGACGGTTCGAAGTGACACCAACGCTGGCCCGCTTGGTCCTATCGGCGAAACATGGCAGTTTGTCAGAGAGTGCAGGCGACTTGTTAGGCCCCAACATTCAACCTTGGCCTCGAAATCAACTTGCAGCCGGCAGCATGACGAAAGACGTTACCACCCTCCAAACATGCTTGGTCAAGCATTTGTCAGTGAACCCGAGATTCCACGCGACCTCGGCGCCCTCGGAGATGATCAGATAAGATAGAGCAGGGGCCGGGGGATCTGATTATCCCGCACTGAAGCGCCGCCAAGCCGCTTCCGTTAGGTTACGAGCTGCCAAGACCACTCTGCTGGGACGAGTGACCCTTGACGAACCCTGAAGGAAGCGCCACGAGTCGCGAGCTCTCCCCCCTCAAGCCCTGGCAGTTGTCCGTGGCGCATGTCGGTAGTTCGGGTGAAGGGGGAGGGGCAGAGCTTTAAGAATCGGACCATGTGCCGTCGCAGGGCGTACATTTCAGGACCCCCCCAAGTTCTTCCTTTTGGTTGACCCCAAAGCTGAGTTCAAGGCACCTTAAACAGCACCCGCGACGAAGTACTCGTCCTCAGCTTTCGCTCGTCTACAACATGGCCGCCTCAGCTGACCAGGTCGCGGCAGCGCCGAACAAGCGTGAGGATGCTATTGAACGGAGCAAGGGCAACATTGACCAGCAAGATGGAGCTGTTGCCGAGGTTGCTTCAAAGGAACAGGAACAGGAACAGGAACAACCCATGGCTGTTCCAACGGAGGCTATGCGCAAGATCTGGACTATCAGGCCTCTGATTGCAGTCTTCGTCGGGTAAGTACATCAAGGCATACCCCGAAAGACGAACCGCGAAAGCCTCCGGCAAGGAAAACTAACGGGACCCAGATTGTTCATCATGAACTTCAGCATGATCTTTGCTGCTTCGTCTGCCGGCGTCTACGACCCCTATGTCACAAGTCATTTCGAGGGCCACTCGCTCATCGCCACGGCCAACATTATCCATGGAATCGTGCGCATTGTGGGATATCCCCTTCTCGCAAAGGTCGCCGATGTGAGTACAATTTCCAACACTGATTCCGGGAGAGGATGTGACAATTACTGATCACCTTGCGTCATATAGCACATTGGTCGTCCTCAGGGCTTCGCCGGCTCCGCCATCAGCATGGCACTGGCGAACGTACTTTATGCTGCCTGCCACAACGTGGATACCTATCTGGTAAATTTCGCCCATTTTTCTAAACATTCACCTCATGGGGATTATGTACTGATTGTGAGTCTGCGCAGACCGGTGGTATCTTTGAATCATTTGGTGACACATGGTGGACCATCACGGAGCAAATCTTCATTGCCGATGTGACATCTCTTGTCAACAGAGGCTTCCTCTTTACCCTGCCGCAGTCGCTCGCGGCCATCCCCACCCTGTATGCTGGGACATACCTTGGAGAGCACATGCTCTTGAACTCGACTTGGCGCTGGGGTTTCGGCATGTGGGCTGTGATCATTCCCTTCTGCGCCCTGCCTACCATCGCCATTATGCTCTTCATGGAGCACCGCGGCCGCAAGAAGGGTATCAAGTGGCAAAGGCTGCCGCTGCGGGCTTCTTCTGGAGCACCCCAGGGATCCTCCTTCCTGACGCAGCTCTACTACATTGTGTGGGTGCGTCTCGACATTATGGGAGCGTTCCTGCTGCTGGCCGGTTTGTCCATGACCCTTCTACCGCTGTCCATCACGGGAAGGAGAAACACGGATCGGTGGTCCGAAGCTTCTTCGATCGTTCTCATCATCGTGGGTGTGCTCACGTTTGTGGCCTTCCTCGTGTGGGATGGGCGATATGCGAAGAATCCCATTGTGCCGTTCCGCATGATCAAGAACCGGAACGTTCTTCTGGCGTGCGTGTCGGTCTGCTTGATCGCCATGTCAGACTCTACCTATCGTGCTTTCGGGCCGAGCTTCCTCCAAGTGGCTGGCGGATACTCGCCCGGACATGCCGTTCGCATCGAGTAAGTCGTCCATTGAGGGCCTCGTCATCAAATACTAATCCTCCCCCTCCCAGCAACGCTCGAAGGGTAGCCCTCAACCTCGGTGGCCTCGTCATTGGTATCGCCATCCGCTTCGTCAAGCACACCAAGCCCTTCATCATCATCGGCTGCGTCATGGTCGCCCTCGCAAACGGACTTCCGATCTACTTCGCCAACATTGACGGGCGCCGTGTCGCCAACGAAGCCGCTCTGACGACTAGCCAGGTCCTGCTAGGTCTGGGTCGCGGCTTTGCCCAGATCCCCCTTCAGGTGTCCTTGCAAGCCGTCGTGCCGGACCATGAGATTGGCATTGCCACTGCGCTCTTCCTCTCATCTTCAGGCTTTGGTGCCAACGTTGGCAACAGGTTAAGGCAGATGGCACCCCGTCACCGCGCATTGACTGATACGTGTGCATCACAGTGTCAGTGGAGCCATCTGGAACACGATCCTCCCCCGCCGTCTCCTGCAACATCTCCCCAGAAGCAGCCAAGGAGAACAGCCGCGCCATCTTCCGCTCCATCGTTGCCGCCCAGAGCTTTGCCATCGGCACGCCTGAGAGGAACGCCATTAATCTGAGCTACCGCCAGACGCAGCAGAGACTGGCTATCGCGTCGCTGTCAATCTCGATTCCGCTCCTCATCATTATGCTCCTGATCCGGAATGTGGACTTTGTCGCCGAGGAGAAGAAGAAGGCGCAGCTGGCTGAGGAGCAGGCCGCCGCCGCTCTTGCGGAAGAGGCTGCCAGGGAGGACGCTGAGAACCGGAACGTCGCGGGACAAGATGCCAGCGACCCGGAGAAGCGCGTTATGCGGTAAACCAGGGCGCTATTGATGTGCATGACGAGTTGACTCAGACTGAGACCAGGCTGCCGATGCTCGTGAGGCTCATCATGTCTGTCCTGGCCATGGAACAACACAATTAGGGTGAAAGCTGGCGTCGCTAAATCCAGTTTCCTGTCTGATGATTGAGGTTTTGGAAGATCAGTATCCTTCAAGTATTTGTCGAATTCAACAAAGCCGACGTGCGAAGCAATCTCACATGCCGAGTTTACATTGAATAGACAGGCCATAGCTGTCCCACTTCTCTTCTGCATCAAGAAACCCTGACGATGGTAGTGAGAAAAACAACATCAATAGCTTTCCCATCCGTAGCCACAGGTTTGAAGCCATGTATCTAGCAGATAGAGATGGGTCATTCGTCCTTGGGTTGACTGCTCAATCTGTTGAACCGCTCCATTTGCTCATCAAAGTTCAGTTCGGGATAGTCCAGCTCGTTCAACACCCAGCGGTCCATGTACTGCTGTATTCGAAGCCGCGGCTTCTGGGGCGGTGCCCTCTCCCAACTATCTCTGTACACTTTGTGGACCGGAATGGCGTCGCCTTGATCGATTCGCGTTCTGTTATCAGAAGAGGGGAGAATTGGAAGTGTTCCGTTGGGCCTTTCCCTTTGTTCCTCTGGATGCTTTTCCCTCGCCCGAAGGAATTCGATAAGCCGGCTTTGCTGATCGTCGAGGAGCTGGCAAATTCGATACGTAATCTTGTCTCTCCCATAAAAAATATAAGCATTCGGCTCTATATCTTGCTCATTCCACGGAGACGAGTGGTCGAAAAGGATGACTCCTCCAAGGATTCGGTCCTCGGCCCAATATCCTACCATGTCTGCGATGCCGTCTGGGTACTGTTCATGGGCGACGAAGTGCGACTGCGTGAACAGTGTGGGATGAGGAACTACGCGGGCCCACATATCAGGTGGACGCTCCCATGATGTGGCCTCATCTACGTCAAGATTGTCCGTAGTTGTGCGATCATGCAAGCGTAGGTTGAGCTGGAACAAGAGAACGGCGATCTGATGAACCGCCGAGGACGTAAGCTCGAGCAGGCGAAGGGCAAAGCCGCGACTCGACGTTGACGACGATTGAAAAGATGGCAACAGCTGTCACCCGTCAGTTGCTGGCAAGAGATGAAGAGATGAGATTGAAAGGACTTCATTCACCTCGGGCTTGAAGACAAGAGCTTCTAACTTGAAATCATCTCGAAACTCTTCAGCCATGTCTCTCGCCCCCGGACAGAGCTCGACATGAGAGTTGATGGGGTGTTGTGGCGTCAGCTTGGTCCCTCGTGTGTCCCATGCTATGTCACAGATAGGAAGACCGTCAATGATCTGAGCAAATGTGACCCATGCTGCGTCGGTAGCCAGAACGTTGCCAAGGGCCTGTGACAAGGCATGGCGGTGCTCACCGTCAAGCCCTTCTACATTTGAGTCATGGCTTAGAGGCATTTTTTGAGGCTGAATAGAAAAATTCAAAGGTCAAGTGAGAACAACGGGAGACTCGTCTCTTAGGTATGTCTCATATCTAACCGCTTGACCTGGACATGGCGGGGGCGGGGAGGTTAAGTTTGAACCAACCAACCCATCATGTGCCTAACGCGACAGTATCAGGCCAGCGCGCCACATGAGGACCTTTATTTCATCTTGCATGGCGCTTAACCTTGCGATTTGGTGATGGACTGTCAGATACGACCATTGAGGGAACCCGCGTTGGCGGCACCTGGCAAGCCGTGTTTCGTCGTTCTCTTTCAACCGCGAAAACATGATCCGCCAAACTCGAAACGAATCAAAGTCAAAAGGTTTCTTCATAGCTTCTTTCGAATTGTTTCAGCCAAAATTCTTGTTACTTCGGCAATGCAGTCAAGTTTCGGGCGCCCTATCTGATCTGTTTGGCTGTAGTGGCACACGCCGATCTAGGCAAAGTCGCCCATTTACTCGCCTCAGATCCAAGCCTCCATTAGAAAGGCGACATGTCGACCAACTTTCGTCACAAAAATAGTCGATAATTTAGGGAGGAACATGAGTTTACTCGATGTAGTGCACTCCTTTGCAATCCGGTCTCCTTGGTTACGGTTAGCTGGAACCAGATGAACAGGAATTCCTCAAACTTCCAGTTGAGGCTTACTCCCAGTTGACTCCTGCTACTCGTTCAGCCACGTCTTCGAAACCACATGGGTTACAGCTTTTTTTGACGACAACAAGTCGGTAGGCTCCTCATGTCACTGCGGTTGGTCGTCGAGTCCAGAATTATCGCTGCCCCGAGACAATCTTCGGACGCCCATCGTCAACTTCTCTCCTTCGTGTTCGAGCTATCTTGATGAGACTTTCGAGCTGCCCTACTCCTGGCATGTCGTAGTCGATTGCGTTGAACTAGATGTAATCTCGCTGCTTTGACCTAATGGAGAATCATTGGATGATTCTGGGGTACTCCTTAGTTTGGTTAGCCGAAGTGCAGGTTAAGAATACGGCAGTAATTGACCTGCTACTTCTGGAGACATGTCCAACCTTCAGTCGGAAACTACAACATCGGCTCCCCCAGCACCTATAGCAGTATTCAACCCCAGTATTTATCGTGAAGAAAGCCAACGTGCCTACCGGTGCCACCTCATGAGACGGAGAATTCCGCTACTTCAAAATGCGTGATGGGCGAATTTCTGCGAGCCGGAGCTTTCAATGGCTCCAGAGCTAAACAGGTAGCTCCCGTCCGGCATTGAGCCAGTCGGTTCACAGAAAATACCCGACTCTGAAATTGCAACAAGCCCATCTCGTAAGAGGCGCACCGTTGGCTGTAAGATCACGCCACCCGATTGACAAAATCCAACCGCAGTTGAGTGGGTGAATGTAGTATGAACAAGATCAGCTTGTGGTGTGTCATTGTCTCCCCATGCACTACGACAGGCCCCCTTTTCACTCATGTCGTTTTCCAGAAGGCCAAGACGTGCACACGACGCTCAATTGACCTATTACCTCGCTTCTACTCGGGGGCAGAATGGACGTACAGCACAAGACTAACCCAGACGGCACAAAGCTGCTTCAAGGGCTTCAAGGGCTCACAACCGAACTACCCTAGGTATCTCTGACTGGTCAGCCCATGCAAGCGGACGATCGGCAGGAATCGTGCGCCCACATGGAAGGGCCGAACTAGGTCCATGGCAACATAACCGCTCAAGCACAACAGGTAGAGGGCAAGCAAACGCCCCATGCAAAGCCGTTGAGGCTCCAACGGCACGGCCCAGAACGCGTAGAGGCGTCCTCGGAGCTCGGGCATCTGCAGTGGATAAACAGGGCGATGCAGTCATCGTCACCACAACGATGCCAGGGGTCCCTGGTTCAAGGATGAGGTGCATTGGCGTGCCGGTCTGGCTGCGCTTCCATCCCCCCCCCCTCGTTCGGCCCTTTCCAGGATCTGGCCCGCCTCCGCATTTTACTCCGCCGTCTCGACCTTGAGTTCCGCCCTTGGCCGCGTTAGACTCCGCATTCTGGCTGCCCACGGGTGCCTCTGACGATGGGGAGGTCTGGCAGATCTTTCGCCCCCTCCCCGCGCCCGCCGGCCATGACAGCGGCCTTGAACTTCCTAATCTGGGGAAGCTTTCCTTCCCACCCCTTCCGCCTCTCGCTGAAATACCGGTCGTATCTCGCTTCTACTACGGGGCTGGGCGTTTTCATATGAGCTTGGGGGTGCAAGTGGAAGCCACCCGCGAGGCTTGAAAGGCCCCGGACTCGTCCCCCATGGGAGGTGAGAGGGGAAGGCGGGGAGGGGAAAGGGGATCCAGGATGGAGATGGCTGGCAACGTGCTGCTCATGCATGACGTCGTGGTTGCTACCTTGGCCTGGTTCGCCGTGACCCTCTACTAGGCCGGACCTTTTACCCAGGTACCACACTGGCGATGGGTTGCAGACGTTCGGCGCGTTGCATCGCGCTGCATCGTGGGATCCTCCTCTAACCCTAACCTTGTCCTACCTTGCCTCGCTAGCTAGCCAAGCCTCCGGCTCGGCCGCTCTCATCCTGAATCTCTTGCAGATCCCTCTGCATTGGCAGGCAGACGAGGTACACATTGCTCGGAATGCGGTGCCCAGACAGCTGGGTCGGGGCGGGAGGGTGCTGTATAAATTGAAGTGGCTTCCCCCGCGATCTGAACTCATGCTGCAACCCCCACCAGTCACTTCAAGATGCATTACTGGAAGACCCTGCTCGTTCCCGGTGTGGCCGCGGCGGCCGTGCTCAAGAGGGACTCTCCAGACTACGACAAGCTTGCCGATTGTCCCGGCTATGCTGCCTCGAACGTCAAGACGACCGGCAACGGTTTGACTGCCGAGCTGAAGCTCGCTGGCCCGGCTTGTAACACGTACGGCACCGACCTCGAGGAGCTTACTCTGTCGGTCACCTACGAGAGCGGTTCGTCTGATCCTGCTATCTCACTTCACATGACTGTGGCTGACTTCGTGACCAGAGTCCCGTATTCACGTCAAGATCCAGGACCCTGCGGACCAGGTTTACCAGGTCCCCGAGTCTGTCTTCCCCCGGCCCGACGAGGGCTCCTTCTCGGGTGACGCCAAGATCAAGTTTGACTACACCGAGGAGCCCTTTGCCTTCACCATCAAGAGGTCGGATACGGATGAGGTTCTCTTCGACACCTCGGCCGCCTCGATCGTCTTCGAGTCGCAGTACCTCCGCCTGAGGACGAGCCTGCCCGAGGACCCTTACCTCTACGGCCTCGGCGAGCACACCGACCCCTTCCGCCTCAACACGACCAACTACATCCGCACGCTGTGGAACCGTGACAGCTATGGTGTTCCGTACGGCAGCAACCTGTACGGCAGCCACCCCTTCTACATCGAGCAGCGCGAGACGGGCACCCACGGCGTCTTCCTCCTCAACTCGAACGGCATGGACGTCATGGTCAACAAGGACGACGCCGGTCAGTACCTCGAGTACAACACGCTCGGTGGCGTGCTCGACTTCTGGTTCCTCTCCGGTCCCTCGCCCGTCGACGTCGTCAAGCAGTACTCGGACATTGTCGGTCTGCCCTCGCTCCAGCCCTACTGGGGTCTCGGCTTCCACCAGTGCCGCTACGGCTACCGCGACGCCTTTGACGTCGCCGAGGTCGTCTACAACTACAGCCAGGCCGGCATCCCCCTCGAGACCATGTGGACCGACATTGACTACATGGACGCCCGCAAGGTCTTCACCCTCGACCCCCGCCGCTACCCCATCGAGAAGGTCCGCCAGATCGTCGACTACCTCCACGAGCACGACCAGCACTACATTGTCATGGTCGACCCGGCCGTCGCCTACGAGGAGTCGGACATTGTCAACCGCGGCCGTCGGGACGACATTTGGCTGCAGCACCCCAACGGCTCCGAGTACCTCGGCGTCGTCTGGCCCGGCGTCACCATCTTCCCTGATTGGTTTGCCGAGAACATCACCAAGTACTGGAACAACGAGTTTGACATCTTCTTCGACAAGGATACGGGTGTCGACATTGACGGTCTGTGGATCGACATGAACGAGCCCGCCAACTTCTGCAACGGTCTCTGCGACGATCCCTTTGGCGACGCCGTCGGCTACCCGCCCGAGCCCCCCGCCGTCCGCGAGAACCCCCGCGCCCTGCCCGGCTTCGGCTGTGAGTTCCAGCTCCCCGGTGCCTGCGACGGCAGCGCCGAGCGCCGCCAGATCGAGGCCCACCCCGCCCGCCCCCGTGCCGCCGGCGCCGAGACGTCTTCGCTCGAGGTCCGCCAGACCGGCTCGGGCGACCGCAAGGGTCTCCCCGACCGCGACCTCCTGTACCCCAAGTACGCGATCCACAACGACGCGGCGGGGCCCGACGTGTCGTGGAACGCGGACCGCGGCGGCCTCTCCTTTAAGACGGTCAAGACGGACATTGCGCACCAGAACGGCCTCGTCATGTACGACACGCACAACCTCTACGGCGCCATGATGGGGCAAGGCGTCGCGGAACCCCCATGATGGCGCCCCCCCGAAGGGGCTGCGGCCCTTCATCATCACGCGCAGCACGTTCCCCCGGCGACGGGCAAAGCCGTGGGCCACTGGCTCGGCGACAACCTCTCGCAGTGGGACCACTACCGGTTCGCCATCTACACGACCATGACCTTCTCGGCGCTCTACCAGTTCCCCATGGCCGGCTCGGACGTGTGCGGCTTCGGCGGCGATGCCACCGAGCAGCTCTGCGCGCGCTGGGCCTCGCTCGGCGCCTTCTTCACCTTCTACCGCAACCACAACGGCATCGACTCCATCTCGCAGGAGTTCTACCGCTGGCCCGCCGTCGCCGAGTCGGCCCGCAAGGCCATCGACATCCGCTACCGCCTGCTCGACTACATCTACACGGCCATTTACAAGGCCACCGTCGACGGCAGCCCGACACTGAACCCCATGTACTTTGTCTACCCCGAGGACCGCGCCACCTGGGCCCTGCAGCACCAGTTCTTCTACGGCGACGCCGTCCTCGTCGCCCCCGTCACCGAGCAGGACGCCACGAGCGTCGACGTCTACCTGCCCAAGGACACCTTCTACGACTGGTACACCCACCGCCCCGTCCGCGGCAAGGGCGCCCTGCACACCTTTGAGGACCAGGACGTCACCGACATCCCGCTGCTCATCCGCTCCGGCAAGATCCTGCCGCTGCGCGTCGCCTCGGCCAACACGACGACGGCGCTGCGCCAGAACGACTTTGAGCTGCTCGTCACCCTCGACGTCGACGGCCAGGCCAGCGGCGCGCTGTACCTCGACGACGGCGTGTCGCTCGTCCAGCAGGGCCACACCCTCATCGACTTTACCTTTGAGAACGGCGTGCTCTCCCTCGACGGCACCTTTGGCTACGAGGTCGACGTCAAGATTGTCAAGGTCAAGGTCCTCGGCGCCTCGTGCCGCACCGGTGCGGGCAAGGAGGGCCGCGGCAGCAAGACGGTCAAGGTTGACCTGTCGCTGAACAAGGCGGGCTCCGTCAAGGTGTGGTGAACATGACCAGATGCGAGCTTCTGTCGTCTCGGTAAGAGCAGGGCTTGGACACGAGTTTATGAGATGCACGGGATTTCGATTCTCATGTGAGGTCGGGTGAACGATTTGCTGTGGAATAAAAACCTCAAGAATTGAATAACAATCCATAAAACAAAGTCTCGTATTTTTTCCGCGCCTTGATACCTCTGCCGTGATAATAGGCGTACTTGACATGTCATCGTGTGCTTCGCTCCTGGAGACCTACAATAGCTAGCCGTGGGCCAAAGATTAACCCATCAAGTCTTACCAAGTCTACTCCTGAATCAAATGTCCAGAGTGCTGCCCATTTCCGGTTATTCTTACTTAGCCACTCCTGAATCCACAAGACTGACGGGCTTGTAGTCCACCCTCGGCGTTCATGGACAGACCACTAATATTGAAAAGTGACGCCTCTTTCTCTCCTGCGATTCGACAGAGACGCCCAGGCAATGGTATCTCATGCCTGGTCGCATTTCATATGATCTTGCGGGACGAGCTTGATGAGTGGCATTGCGTAATTCTCACCAGTAAACATGATACCGCCGCCAGCAGTACCCTTCTCCTTATTGCTTATATCTGGCTCTATCTCACTGCTGTCACAGTTTTTCATTCACAAAGGAAATTACGTTGAGAGGCCTCTTGCTGACTTGAAATTCTGTCGATTCATGTGCCCTGACCAGGAGGGAACGATTCAGTAGCCTCACAACGGACAACAGTCAAATCGGCGAAGAGCGCGCTCTCAGGCTCAAGTGTGCGCCTGCGCTTTGTATGCCGAAGGGCTCAAGAATTAGTCGTGGAGGCAACTGCACTGTCTGAACGCGGATGCTTCGCAGAAGAACTTGCAGATCTTGCGAGCGAGGAATGATGCGGACTTTCGGATCCGCGGGGAGAAAAGGAGGATTTCTCAGGGCGTGTAGATTTGAAACCGCATGTCTTCTTCATCCAGATTGTCTGAGTGTGATTCCGGAAACGCCCACTGGTAGAGGTTAGCTAGATACGAGGGATGGCAGGGGTGGGTATCTGGTTTGTCACAGTCCTCGTGATCAGGGGTATCCGATATCTACAACGTGTCTAGCGATATTCGTTCTTCGGAGGTCTCTTCAAGACCACCATCCACCAAAAACTTGACCTTCCTTTGTTCTTCAGAACCAGTAGTTGATCCGTCCTGTTTGTAAGGTCTTGCATTGGGGGAATTCGAAGGTGACATATTTGCCCAAGTACGACCGGCGTCTGGTCGATGATCATGCTTCCAGATACCTACGCTGGGAAGCTTATGGGCAGATATATCCAGCAAGAACTTCGAGTTGCATTGGTTCTTGACGCCCCTGCTCTACCAAACCTCTTCAAGAACCTTTTATAGAAGAATAGGAGAACCTCTTCGTGTCGGCCAAAAGTCTTGGACAAGACTGACGAGATTCTCTGGGTGCTCGAGGAAGTCGCTGTTCATGCCATCGCTGTAATTCATTGATATTCCGAGGCTCCCAGGATACCTGTTCGGAACGTTTGTTTCTAGAGGGAAGGGGTCTTCAGGATCTGAGGGAGCGTGAGTGATTGCACCGAAACGTGTGGTGAGGCGGGGTGTCCCACGGCGCGCCTCCCAAAGCTCTGTGCACGCCCAGAGCACGACGTAGCCAAGATACGCCTTGTTCACCATAGCCGGGGCGGATTTCTGGTAAAGGATGCACATAAATGTCTCGTGGGAGTCCTCCGGTTGCGGAACGTCTTCCTAGAGAGCAATGCGCCAGTACAGCTCAACATCAGATGGAAACTTCACATTGTTGTAGGAGGGTTCATCCAACCATGGGATGAATTACTTTTCAAGGGAGCATCGAGATGGAGCAGTTGCTGACGGTACACTTCTTATCTTGAGGTCGTCACAAAGGCCATGGGCGCGTGTATGAAAATGCAGTACAGAAAATCCAATACAAGGGGTCATCGGCTAAGAACTAATGTCGCAGAATCAGCTCCCGAGCCAACCGTCTAATGCCCAGCCAACCACCATGTCCCTGAGGAAGCAGTCATGAGAGGAGACGTGGCAAGGTGAATATGCATGCATTTCAATCAGACTTGATTCAAAAGGACTCTTTGCTAAGCCTCTCTGTGCAGTCTACATGTCAATACAGAGTCCACAGTCATCGTTCCCGCAGGCACAAGTTTCATGTCTTCACAAGGATGGGCTGCCAAGATGTCATTTATTCCGACAAGCAAAGTAAACAAATTAAGGTATGTCCGCTCCTTCATTTCAAATGCCGCCACAGGCTCATAATGTGGTGCTGCTGTTCCCAATCGTGTCCTCCCACCAACCCTAACCCTTACCCCTATCTAAGCCCCCACAAAGCCTGCTCAATACCCGAACCCCCTCAAACCAGATTAAAGCTCCCAGTGACGCCCTCAAAGGCACGAATGCTGCCCAAGAGACTCTTCGAGTTACCATAGTACCGAATCCGATACGTCCCCGCCGCAGCCGCCGAGCCGCCCTCCGCCGTCTCCCACCGGATCGTCACCTCGCTGTGTCCCAGCAGCCAGTCGGTCCGCGCCCACTCGTACACGAGAAACCAGTCGGCATCGTCCCGCACCTTGCTCCACATCCCGTCCGCCGCGCGTCTCTCGACGGCGGCATACGTGCCCTCGAGACGGAGGTCGTTCCGTGGGTTCGCGCCCTGGAACTTGACCACAACCTCCGACCCGCGGGCGTAGCTCGCCGAGGGGGCCGTGATGACGGCGCCAAAAGCCCGTCCCGCGGGCGCGCCGTCCGTGACAACGCCCGTGTTGAAGTTGAGCGAGTTGGCGCGGTTGTCGGGCGGCGCGGGGCCCGCGGGCGGCAGCGTCGTGGCGCCGGGGGCGAGGTGCTGGAGGTTCGAGATGGTGAGGTTGATGTAGGCGTCGAGCGTGTAGCGGCCGTAGAAGGTTGAAGCGCCTTCGTAACGCTGGACGTCGTACTCTTCGCGGGTTGTGACGTAGTGCTGCATCCGTTAGTCGGCGTCACATGAGGGGGGATGATTTTGGTCAACAGGCGGGACCAGAAAAGGGGCCAACGTACCGAGTATGTGTTTGCTGGACCGCCGAGCACAACGAGAGGGCTTCCGCCCGTGATGCTACCCGAAGCCGCCGCCACGGCCTCTCTCCATCGCCTGCCCGCCATGGTCGTCGTCTCAGCACTGCCGACAACGAGAACAAGTTGCCCTACACGCAGGGTCTGAATATCGACAATGTTTGGGCTCCACGCGTACGGAGTGTTCACGCCACCGACGTCAAGCAAGATGGGCTTCGGCTCCTGGCACGCCTGTTGCTCAGCTGACGGCGCCCGCAGAATGCCACCAACGACTCGCCACAAGGGATTCTCTCCCGTCGAGTCGCCCTGCGTGAAGTCAAAGGCGCCAGGACCGTCGGTCGTGCCAGCGGCGAAGGAGTAGCCAAGGGAGGCCGGGCACGTCTGTACCTCTTCACCCGAAGGCAGGCGGAACTTGGAAAAGGTCATGTTATGGAAGAAGTGGAAGGACTTGACAGTCGGGCCCGTGATGGGCGTCGATCTAGAGCCGAGCGCATCCTGGTCAAGTTAGTCTTCTCGTACTCTGACATGGTACGAACGCGATGGCAAGACAGCTTACAAAAATGGCCTTGGCGCCAACATACTGCCTCCTCCCAATCTCGTAAGCGCTCGAAACACCGAGATCCAGCTTTCTGAACTCGGGGCCCCGCCCACGGCATGACTGCGAGAGGCCGTCGGCACAAGTGCTCGTCTCAAAGTCGCACTGCTGGCCCGACCCGTCATCGCACCAGGCACCGAGAACATTGGGCGTCGTATCGGCATGGTTCGCCTGGGCAAATCCAGCGACGAATCCGCCACCAAGCTCCTTCTCAAAAAGCCACGACGCCACGCCCTTGTTGTCGCCCGCCACCTTGGTGTTGTTCTGCAGCATGGACGTCGGGTGCACGGCGAGCCAGTTGAGCACACCGAGGGCCTTGTTGTCCAAGGCGCGGCGGAAGCGCAGCAGCGTCATGGTCTTGTCGACATCTCCAGCGTAGCGCGCACGCTCGGCAGCCGGGTTCTGGAGGTAGGCCCAGGGGCTGCGGTTGATGGCGGCGTTGGGGACCTCTCCTGTACCAAAGTCGAGGTAACCCTAGGAAACGTCAGTCTTTTCGTATAACCAACCAGACGAGACAACTCACCTCTGCTAAGGACTCGTGCGCCCTCTTGACGGACAGAACAGCACCATCGACGATGGCCTGATAGCTCTGTCTGTCGAATCCCAAGTTTGTAACTTGGGGCAGCAAGTAGTTGAAAAAGGCTCCCGGTCCAGCGTGGCTGTGAGAGCCCGTCACGGCAATGTTGTTCTTGTTGTACACGGCGTACGCAGGGCCCAGCGCCGCGACGCCCTCGAGAATGCCCCTTCTTACGGCCGTGTCACCCGTCTGCGTGTCAAGAACAAGGTAGACGAACCTGTCAGCGGGCTTGGAGGCGTCGCCAACAATGAAGGCACGGCTGTACAGTCGCTGGCGCAAGCCGGTGCCCTTCTGATCGAGGTCAGCATAGCCGGCAAAGCCAATCTCAACGACGGGGCCCGTTATGTCGGCTTTGCCGACTCCGAGGAGGTACTTGGAGCCAGAAGCCTGGCGACGCTCATTGATGAAGTCATCACCAAGCGTGGCCGCCGTGGCGAAGCTCAGGAAGAGAGAGAGGAGGAGGGCGTAGAGGGGCAGCCTTGACAGCATGATGCTGCTGCTCTGGCGAAGCTGCGCAACAAACATAACTTTTGATCAAAACCTTGGCAGTGCGGCGAGGCAAAAGCAGATGCTCAAACATCTGGAGAACCTCCAGGTCAAGGAAACCGTGCCCCTCACCACGACCCTTATATCCCCCTTTCAAACCGCGGTGTCACAAGTCAGACAGTCAGGAACGCATCAAACGTGCTCCAATAGTCTCTCCTCCTCCCCGCCGCCTACGTAGGTGCAAGAGAAGGAAGCCTCGCTTCGAGAAGGCAAGTCATGCCCCCCGCCCTCACCCCTCCCCCTCCCTCCAGGTAGTAGGTAGCAAATGCCATAGCTCCCAGAGGCGCCGCTTCAACCAGCCAAGAGATCTCGGCCGATACTTCCTGATCGACAGTAGCGGACCTGCGCAAGGGAAGTAAGACCACTAAGAGGAGAGCAACGCGCATCAAAGCGCACAACGTCGACAAGGCTCCCGGGCCGAGTTAGGTCGCCATTCAACCCCCTCCAGTTCAGGTGTGCGCCCAAAGGCCGGGAGCTCGACGAACCGGAGACGATCCAGCACCCACGTACCGTCAACCGAGCAGGAGGGGCGCGACAAAGGGGGGGCAGGAGGGGGCCAGCCGAAGTGCTACGAGCAACGAGGGACGGATAGGGCCATAGGGGTGTGCAAGCGAGTGTGGCCTATACAGGAAAAAGATGCTCTCGGGAGAAGAAAGGCCAGAGACCAGGCCGGGCTGTCAAGAGGCCAAAAACGGTCGTTGACTCCGGTGATCCCACCTTCGAACACGACGTAACCTCTGGATTTTCTTGTTGAAGTCCCCCCACCGAACGAACGCCCACGCATCCAATAAAGCTGCCGCGCCGGCAGTGTGGCTGCTGGGCGGACATCACGCGCGACGTGCCCGCTCGAATGCGGGGGAGACCAGGGGGTGAAGACCCAAGGATGGGCATACATGGATGGTACTGCGTACCTAGGCATGAGATAGGCCAGGATGGAAAGAGAGAGAGGGTGCATTGGGATGGTCATCCAGCGGCGCGCTATTGGATCGTCTGCCGGGGAGCTGTAGATTAGAAGGCCTCCATCTCAGATTCTATTCGATGCAGTGGTTGGGTTTCCAGGTTTTGCTAGCAACCCTTACCCCCTCCTCTTGTCCCCCTCCCCTCCCCTTCCCCTTACCTGTCTATTCACTCCACCAAGTCCCATGTCCCGTAGTGCAGGCTGGCTGAGAGACGCAAAGTTGATGGCTAGCGCGATTGGAGCTGAGTTGCTGTGCTGGATGTGGCTGCCGCACAACCTCCCCCCCCCCTGTTTGCTTTTACGCGATGCAGCTACCTCTTTGGGAACCGGCATTGGGGAGGGGTTAGTTCCAGTGGTTATATTGAAGATAGGAGGATCTTGCAGGTCGTATGACGTGTGGATACTGCACGATGCCGGCATCAGGTCCAGGTTGGGAAAGCCTCGTGTGCGCTGGCTGGCTCGCGTGCGTGTGCCCTTGTGGTGAGTGAGGTGAGGGAGTGAAGCATTCAGGCCTCAACGTCAAGGAAACCCGTCAAGGAAACCCGTCAGGGAAACCCGTCAGGGCCAAAGCGGCGGCCGAATGTTGTCGAGATAAGACAGAGTGGCGCCCGTCACGCACGCCAAGGTACGGCTATTGCGCCTGGCAGACCCCCTGTCGATGAAACATTGATTCAGTCAAGCGTGGATGGGCGTCCTTCTCATCAAACAGAAGAAGAAATGCGCCCCCCCCTGCGTCTTCACTCGATAAGATTGAGAGTTTTGGGACGGGAAATGGCAGATTCGTCAACGTCAAGCGTATGGCTTTGAAATTACACAACTATGTTGATCTAAAAGTACGGTACACATGGCAGCCAGATAGGTAGTCAGGCTTACACCAAAACAAGAACGCCCTATCGCCTGTGCTCAACTGCACAGCCTACTACTCTCTCTTCCGTGCCATATCCTCCTTCTGCCAACACCTCGCCTTCTGCCCATCGTGTCCCACTTCGTACCCATCATGAGGAAAAGATGAGGCGTCACCGTGAATGAGAACTGTATTTCTCACAGTCTGCACCTGCATATGCTTGATTCACCGCTCGCCCCGTTTTTCTTTCCCCGAATCTCCTGACCTGAATCCATATCCCGGTCCAGCTAAATACCATTTGAACGCCGGGTATTTCTGCCCAGCTTGCGCCATCCCACCCTATTCGACGCAATGAGACAAGCACAACAGTAAAACAACCAAAAAAAAATACACAAGACGCCGCTAACAGACAGACGGGCGACCCGTCAGGGAATATACACCATTGTAATGATGATCATCGGGAGTCGCGATCAATAAGTACCAAGGCGAGACAAAAAAAAAGATGAATGCAAAGCGCGGTTCCGGCGCAAGTCTCAGCAACCGAGCTCCTCCTCACACTCGCTCATGCTGCCGTGCCCTGTGTCGGTCTCCATGCCCACGACGCTCCTCGTAATGCTCAAGCAACGATCCACCATCTTGTGGCGGACGTCCTGATCCAACCCACACTGCTCGCCTGGCGTGCTGCCGATCCAGATGCGGAGGCTACCAGCCAGGCGTTCGAGCGAGGTGCTGAATGCCTCGGCAGCTGAGGGATGCGTGTGGAGCTCTGTCATGAGCTTGAATAGTGCCGTGCATCCGAGGAGCGACATGCTCGCCGTGACGCTGGGTTGTGCGAGCTTCTCCACGAGTTGGGTGCTCTCTCGAGGGGCCGGTCCCGCCTTGAAACGTTGGAGATGGGCAATTGCCATGGCGCACCGTAGCGCCACCTGGACATCGGGCGTCTGAACGGCTGGCGAAGATGAATCTAGGATCGGAGACACAATGTCGTTGATGGGTGCCTGTACGACGCCGGGCTGGACAGTTTGGATCGCAGATGCGATGCTAGCACCCCGCTTCTCGTCAACGAGGACAGCACGAGCGACGAGAGCTCGTGCCTGCGCGCCTGACGCAACGGGAGCTGCCTTGAGGGCATTGTCGAGGTGGCCCGACACGACCTTCTGAGACTCGGTCTCATCCTTGCCAGCACTCAGGCTGGCAGTCAAAGCCCGCTGGACTTCCTGACTGGACCACCAAGCCGCCACCGCATCCATGGGGGATCGCACGGCCTGATCATCCACAACAGCATCCATACCTTCCGTCTGCTCGTTCGCGTTTTCGGTGGTTGGAAGATTCCATGCCAGGTTATAGGCTCGTCGGATGATGTGGCAGTTCAAGACGTTGTCGCACTCTTGTTCCAGCAGCGCAGCAAGATGTTCGGGAAGCTCATCGTCGTTTGCTTGCTCTGAGACGCGTCGTTGTTGTGTGAGGATCCTGTTTAGTTGCTTGGCCTCGTTCCAGCGGGACCTCGCCAGCTTCGTGGCGATGGTATTGTGAATGCCGCGGGAGCCGAGATCCCAGAGCAGAACCCGAATGTGAAGCGCCTTCAGCATGGATCGAAGGGGGGTATCAGGGAGTGTGCCAGATGCCAACAAGGTCAGTGTCAGCCGGCTCTTGTTCACCTCGACGTCTCCACCGGCCAATTGCGCATCCAGAGCAATCGACCATGCCTTGACGCGGGCTGCCTCCTGTTCTTCGGTGAATCCAGTCAGTGCCTGGTAGCCGTGGACTCCGATCGTGTTTCGTAGGCTCAGCTTCATGGTTTTGAGGATGAGGGCAGCCGCCTCTAGAAAGAAGTTGTGCTTTGGGACCCAGACTGTCTGGATCGCAGTAAGCCATGCCTGTCGTCGGACATGAATGGGCGATGCCAGCGAAGGAGCAGGTTCGAGCGAGCTACTCATCTGTTCCGCGCCCTTCTTCTGCTTCTTGTCTGAAGGGGCAAAGAGCGAAGGCATGAAGACAGTAAGGAAGATGCCGAAGAAAAGAAGAACTTTGAGGTGAGAGATAAAGTGCGCGGCGGGGATGACGTGACCAGCGACGTGGAAGTTGCTGGACTTGAGGGCGCTGAGAAGTTGCATCGGAACCGCGAACAGACCACGGCCTTCTGGTGTCTCGTTGCTTTGCTCTTCGGTACGCACAGCCTCGATAATCATCAGGCCAGCCAGAGAGCCGACCATCAACTTGCCGAAATAGGGTGCGTTGTTGCCCCATCGGCCGCCTTGCTGTGCTTGTTGCTGCTGCTGGATCTGTTGTTGGCGAAGCAGACCAGGATTGCCACGGAACTGTTGCTGCGGCACCGGATAAGGCTGACCGGCAGCCATCTGAGCGGCGATGATGCGCTTCATATCTTCGGGAACGGTCATCATGCCCTGGGGCGCGTCGCCGCGAGGTGTACCCATGGGTGTGTTGATGTATTGATCCTGAGGGTACTGCATTGGCGTGGGTGGTTGTTGCATTGGGCTCATGGCACCGGTCATGGCACCGGCCATGAACAGTTTTTCAAAGGCTGCGATCCGCGCCTGCATCGCACCATTCTCATCCAGCAAGCGGTTATTTCGCTTCTCGAGATGGCGGATATATTCGGTAGCCTTACTCAGCACCTGAAGTGAAGGTTAGTTGGCGTTTCAGTTCAGCAGCATCACCAAACATACCGTTGCCTTGTTCAATTTGTGAGCCGGTGTCAGGCCGTGCAGCTCTTCACGGTCTTCCGTCGTATCTTCGCCCCTCGCACTCTTCGACATGATGCGCAAACTGGGGACGCTGTCTCTCAACGCTGCGATCTTGTCGTTGAGGTTCGTCCGATAGCGCTTCTCAATCATGTTGTGGGCCGTCTTCTTGACAGGCTGGTTGCCATCTTCGTCGAGCTCATCTTCATCATCCTCAGCGTCGGCCGACGACTTTCTCTTCCGACTGAGAGGCTTGCCAAATTGATCGGTGCCATCTGGAGACGAAAGAGCCCCCGCGGCAGCGGACCCGGGACTCGGCTCACTCTTGGGCGAGTTGTACTGCAGATGGGCGGGCATGGCGATGCTCCGTAGTTTCTCCTGTTGGGCAGGTGTCAGGAGGTTCAGCGTCTCGCCGCCTGGCGCGTTATATCGCTGAGGG